CATGAATCAAATATGCACTTTTATTCATTTACAATAAACTCATAAAGTACATCATTCTGATTGAAGCTAAGGGCATACAAAACTGTCCAACATATACTATTGGGTACTTAGGTATTTTAAACTTACACATCTTAACAGTGAGTCCCGTTAATTGGTAGAAAGTGGGACCCACTATACTGATTTGGTAGTGGGCATGGCCCACTTTAATGTTTTAACAGTGGGTCCCACAAATAAATGGGACCCACTATACTAATCTGATAGTGAACGTGACCCAATTTGATATTTTAAATTTAATTATTTTAACAGTGGGCCCCACTGATGGGTGAGACCTACTATGATGACTTGCTAGTGGGGCCCACCTTAATGCTTTAAACTTGAATATTTTAATAGTGGGCCCTATTGATGGGTGGGGGCACTATGATGACTTGATAGTGGTGTGGCCCACTTTAATGTTTTAACAGTGGGCCCTGCTGACAGGTGGGACCCACTAGGTTGATTTGATAATGAGCGTGACCCATTGACATTTTATACTTGAATATTTTAACAGTGGGCCCATTGACAGGTGGGACCCACTAAGTTGATTTGATAGTGGGCATGGCCCATTTAATGTTTTATACTGAATATTTTAATAATGGGCCCCGTTGACAGGTGGGACCCACTAGGTTGATTTGATAGTGGGCATGACCCACTTTGACATTTTATACTTGAATATTTTAACTATGGGCCCACTGATAGGTGGGACCCATTAGGTTGATATGATAGTGGGTGTGGCCCACTTTAATGTTTTAAACTTAAATATTTTAACAATGGGCCCTGCTGACAAGTGGGACCCACTATGCTGATTATAAACTCGAATATTTAAACAGTGGGCCCCACTGATATATACTGTTTAAATAGTGAGCGTGGCCCACTTTAAACTTAACAGTGGGCCCCACTATACTGATTTGATAGTGGGATCCACTAATTCATGATAATTCATAACTGTAAATAATGGGGGTCAGATTATATTTTATTTATCTATTATATACATGTATATTTCTTTATAACTAAGGTGGATAGATCCACGGATTGAGATCCACATCATATGATAGTGGGTCCCTCTGTAACAGTTGGTAGTAAACTGAAAATTTGTCAGTAACAAGTGGCAACATGTGCTGTTACAGGTAGGTAGCAACCAACACATCTGTTCCCTTTTTAGGTGGGTAAGATCCACTGACAGTGGGTCCCAGAGGTTTGCTATTTATAAGTGGCAATATAGGCTGCAACAGTAATACATTTGTCACCTTTTTAAGTGGATAAGATCCACTATGGGATCCACCAAATATATATATATATATATATATATATATATA